TTGATACAACATGTAGCGAGCATAAGAAATAAAAATTGCTTTGGTTTTGTTTAATCTCAATTCATTTTTTTTTTCACAAGCATTTTAGGATTATGTTCCCATTCTTTAGGAATTTAAACTTGGATATAATTATGTAGATGTAAAAAAACGAGAGAACGTGTAAACTTTGTACCCAAAACACGATGGAATCAGAATGTCATTTCATGCCTTGTTGACAATTTTCTTTAGAATTAGATTTTTTTTATTTATAATGCATAAATAATTGTTCCTATGTTATGTGATTATTGCCATCTTTACTCTTAACTACTTAAAAAATGCATGATTAATGTTACATAACTGTGATTTCACGCACGTTTTACTCGTAAATAAGATTTTAGATTTAGGAATTTCTGTTGATGTTTGTGTTTTACGACACTTACAAAGTCAGCATGTGCAAATGGTGAATTTACCAAAGTCAAAGTCGTATGTATGGCCCATTAGCTTGAAGACTTGCAGTGTACAAACACTTCATAAATAACATATTTTCAGCAAAGCGATGCTTTTGGAAATTTTGCGATTGTTCCAAAGCGAAATGGAGGTATTGTTACATGTGGTGGAATACAAGCTTCATGCAGACGACTAAGCTCATATAAGACATTTTCAGTTAGCTAAATGTCTCCAGACCAATCCGAGAAAGCAATATTATTCTGTTGCATAATATTCATGGTACATCCAGCACAATGCACTGTGGCATTATCTTATTAGGAAAAACACACGCAAGAGGTCTGTGATGTGTTAGAAACAGAAGATAAACAGGACAAAGAACGTTATCAATGTATGGCTTTGCAGTAAAATTTCGTAAAAACGCGATTGTGGAACTGGTCAAGAGATCGTACTCCACAACATGCTTACAGTGCCCTAACTTCGCTTGACCCTCTTAGAAGAATGGTAAAATATCCTACAATAAATTGTTTCGTCTAAAACTTTGATGGATAACAAGATTTGCAGCTTATGGGACATAAGATATATAATACATATGATACTGACTTTTGTGAATCTGATGATTTGTAAGTGTAGTAAAATACATAAATTATTATCTATTTAAATGAAATCCCTAAAAATGATGACTAAATTTATTTTTTTTAGCATTATTCCTTGAAAAAGTTCAGGAAAATATGTTATCACATTTAGCAAAATATGAATGATGCAGTTTAAAAGTTGCTGTGAATTTAAAAGTTATTGATGAATTAATTGATTGATTAATCAATTAATTATTTTTTTGTCTTAATTAATTAATTAATATTTCTTTATCAATACTTCCATTTCTTATATGTGGGTGAACTAAAGGTAGTTATATTAACTATTTTTAACTATAGTTCTAAATTGTACATCATGTTCAAATGTATCATGTATATCATGTTCAAATTTAAGTAAATTACAGTGTAAATGTAATGAAAAAGCTACAATTTTCAAAATAAATTTGCCTTATTTAATAAATAGTACATTTCTATGTATTTAGGTATTTCTGAAGAAGTTGATTTGTTGAAAAAAAAGTACAATAAGTCATTAGGGGTATTTTGACAATGAATTACAAGATCTTGACAATTAGTTATCACCGATAGATTGAAAACATAACTTATTGGGATATCATAATTTCATGTAACTGTATACCTTACGTAATTCATTTTTGTAACCAAAATACGCCGTGGAGGGTCTGTGAGGAATCTTTAAAATAAGGTCGCGACTGTTGGTAATAAACATTAAAATTGAAAACATAATTAATCGGGATATCGTAATATTCATAAAATAGTATTATTATACTTTTCATAGAACAGGTTATACGCAGGTTCGGATCAGGGTATGCTTTTTAAATACGATAAGATAGAAGATAAAGTAAAGTATAGGGTGTGTCCGGTGATAACGCCCGTTTCACACTGCTCATGTCCTATCTTATTACAAATTACACTTTTTAACGTGACAGTTTATAATAAGATAGTAGTTTTGCACTTGTGTTTAACCTATTCAAACGATTTTCAAACGACGTAAAATTGAATAGTACCACGCAAAGATAATTACACAAGTATTGTGCTAAATTGATTTCTTGTTTTCTTTAATCAGGGTTTGAGGTGTTATGGTGTATGTTTAACGCTTCACCATCAAATAAGATAAAGTACTAAAACAGGTTTTAAATCAAAGCACAGAAGCGCTGAATTTGTTTGGGTCTCAGAATGTCAGAAAGGCGAAGGTTGTGAGATTATAAACTATTTGTTTTTGTATAGTGCCACCAATGCTTTCCAGCGTTTTAATTGTAGTAAATTGGCTATAAGACCAATTGCAACACTGATATTCAATTCAATGTTTATTTGACTTAAAACATTTTGAAAAAAAAAATGAATTGCCTTAACCGGGATTTGAACTGGAGACCTCCCGCTTCCTAAGCGAGTGCGCAAACCCCTCGGCCACGGTGAAGTTTTATGTTGATGGCCTGAAGAAAGCCATATTATTCTAAATTATGGTTTGTAACGACGCTAACTGTTGTTTAACACAGATGTAAATAATCATGGAGCTTACTATAAACATGTATATCTATAAAGAATAAAACAATATTAGAAATCTTCGACCATTCGGGAACTACTTTGCTTGAAAATTAATGCGTCTGTCATTTGACCATCTTTACGCAGTGATCTCCCGGCTTTAGTGTTCATATAAAGGGAATTAACCGCTTCAAAAAAGCGGACTACTTTCGGCATTTGCAATTAACAGCATTAGAGTCTGAAATTTCGCTACCATTATTTGTTTGGTCTGACGACCCAAACAAATAAAAATGAGTCAAATACTTTTGATTCATAATGCGGTAATTTAGGATAAAGTTTTTGTTTTTCCTGGTTATCCTAATGCGTATTAGATTTAGATTGGACACGTATAGTGATGAAAAATGTCGAGTTTTCACAAAATTGTCCTAAGAGGCCGTATCATATTACTGAATGTGCTAAATGAATTACTAATATAGGTGAATAATTACGAGATAGTATCGGTGATAGAATAAAGAAACGCCAACAAAAATTGTCCATGTTTAAATTACATCACAGATGTTAATGAGTTGTATCTCTGACACTATCTTAATTTTATCTTGCATAAATTATCAACATGATATGCATTAAAATATGGATTTATTAACACGGACGTGTTGATAATTATATATGAAAAGGAAACTTTGATATTCTGTTTGAATGACTGCTGTCAGGTGGTTAGTAAACACGTTCAACCAGTAATTGCACACATGCATTCTGGTTTGGTTGTCGTCTGCTTATAGTATAGTGTCTTCTGCAGAGACATTACTAACTTCCGGCTCGTAGTTTGCATTTCATTTTATTATTAAACGTTGTCTGTACGCTGTATTAATCAATCAAGCCCTTCATGAGAATCATTCGGTTTTTGTCTCCACTCATCATTTACATTCATTTGTACTGAATAGGCACGTGTGTTAAAATTTCAAACACTTAAACAACAGCTTTTCACGAGAATCGACCAGGTGGCGCATCATTTGCTGAATGTTTCATACAAGTTGTTGAAGTATAATTATATAAGATATGAAACGCTTAGAGCGCAGTTTTAGTAACATGATTTTTTTTTTAATTTGCCAATAAATTGCCATCGTTTTTGCGTTCTGTTAAATCTCTGATATTCATCGTATACTTTATTTTGCACGACATTTTATTTGTACTTAAGACAATAAAGTTTATTTTTATTCAGATGTTTTAATTTGATACTTAAGACAATAAAGTTTATTTTTATTCAGATGTTTTAATTTGATACTTAAGACAATAAAGTTTATTTTTATTCAGATGTTTTAATTTGATACTTAAGACAATAAAGTTTATTTTTATTCAGATGTTTTAATTTGATACTTAAGACAATAAAGTTTATTTTTATTCAGATGTTTTAATTTGATAACTGTGAAATGACTTGAAAGATTGGTGCTATTTTAGTGTTTATATATTTGTATGTAAGAAATAGATATATATCTTTATCATGATTTTTATTGTTAACATTTCAAGGCCACTGCCACACATTTTTGTAGATATGTCATTAAAGATCAAAGGAGAAAATGTTGACTTAAATTGTTGTGATCTATATACATAATCTTTATAATTGAGTATGAATGTGTGGACCATTTAACTCATTATACTGTTTACACTGATTAACCTTAAAGGTGCTCGTTTACAAATGAGCCGCGTCACGACAAAAACCAACATAGTGCGTTTGCGACCAGCATGGATCCAGACCAGCCTGCGCATCCGCGCAGTCTGATCAGGATCCATGCTGTTCGCTTACCAACTCTATTACAAGTACAGAAACTGATAGCGAACAGCATGGATCCTGATCAGACTGCGCGGATGCGCAGGCTGGTCTGGATCCATGCTAGCCGCAAACGCACTATGTTGGTTTTGTCGTGACGCGGCTCAAATTATGCGAGAAAAATATTATTTCCTATTTACCATTTAAAAGAAAGAGATAAATTTATTATGATGAAGACGTAGGCCGAAACGTTGATAAGTAAAACAGTTTATTTATATTCATTTGTTGTTTTTGGTTTTTCTATACTTAAACCAATTTAAATGTTTAATACTGCTAAAACTGATATTAGTGACGGAAATGATTGTATAGGCTATATTGCAGTCGTCCATAAACAGTTTCAATCCGACCAAGCAACCTTTTCTCTCTAGATCAATGTTCATATTCTAACATCTATTTGACTAATATAAAGACTGTAAGTAACTGGAATCGTTAGGCAATGGTTATATATATAACAATGAACCTTTTTTCATACACAACCATATAATCCATATAAAATAAAGCGAACTAATGATACTGTACAATAACTTTCTATATTCAAATTTTTTAATAATTCATAAATTTATAGCAGCGTGTATATATGATATAAGCATCACAATTATCCAATGAAAATTGACGTTACAAAATTGCTTGGTTATATCTTAACATTATATTTATGTTTGCAGGCATGCTTCAAGACGAGAATTATAAGTGTATGCTTGACGATCAAAGCTTGCTTAAAGCTAAACGGGAGCTAAATGAAGACCCGAAAGAAAGAGTCGGTGCGTTAAAGGCACTCCGTGAATGGGTGACACAGCAAAAGTGGTTGAAGTCTCCGTTAGGTTGGTTAAAACATTTTATATGATCGTACAATTATAAAACATTATGGATTCAATGTTTTTTTTATGACGACCGTAATATGTTTGGTACAAAGTACATTGATATTTTGTTTTGATAAGATTATAAAAATGTGGTAATGAACTGGAATTGTAACTGAAGTTTTGATAACTTTGAAGACAGTTTTGACTTAGTCACAATGTTTATCAATTGTTTGTTTGGTTGGGTTTTATGCCAATTATATCACGCTTTATAGTCAAACCTCGGCGGTCAGTCCATCTTAATGTTTCAGTAATTTCCATATTTTCCGCAACTGACCGACTACTAATCTAAAGCAATGAACAGTAAATGACCACTATCCCGAGGATTGAACCAACGGTCCCTTGGCACAAATCCGATGTCCATTAATCTACAGCAAGAAAATAAAAAATAAACCATTACATGAACATTATTTTCAAATTTCTTTTGAAGATTTTTTATAGGATTGCATTTCCTTTGATGTTTCTTGTAATCATATACGACATGCCTTTGTGAACAACGGAAAATAGATTAACTGGCAGTTTGTCATTGTGAACAAGTATCATGCAACGATTGGCCCTACAAAAATGATTTAAAACTGTAGTTTTGTTTGATAAATTGAGCTCGTTTGAAATTTTAAAGAATTATTTAACATCAAATTGAAATAGTGCACCTGTCGATGTACTCAATAACACATGTAATGTTTACCTGATAAAATGCAGAAATGAAGTAATTAATGTTGTATTGTTTCTTCTCATTTTACATTTGCTACATAAACATTTCATTTTTTCAAAGTATATATTTTTTGAAATTAATAAACATCCATTATTCTGATAGATTCGCTTGTTAAGCAAAAGTTTGAACCATACCTACAACAGTGGGAACTTGTTGATGATCTGTTGTAGTTACAAATGTTGTTTGATTTGCATAATGGTGCAGCACATGTATATATAGTTGACATTTAAAAATGCTTGTCATGATTAACTTGTTTAAATCTAAGTTAGATAAGATATAACGTTTTGGTGTACATACATAACAAACATATAAATATTATAAATATCTTGCCCACGATTTTTATCCCAAAAAATGACGTATATTAAAGGATATTTATTAAGTTATACTTGGTGAATTATGTTATAAAAAATCAAAGACTGTACAATTTCGGTTTTGTCATATTTTCACGGTCTTACAAGCAAAAGCGTCTCTTAATTCAGCTGCTGTCTTAGTACTGTAGCTAAAATCTTGCGCATGCGCCCTATCCCCTCTTTTATCAGAAATTTACAACAATCAAAACCTTTTTCGGCACGACGTTCATCAAGATGCAATCATTCTACAACTGTCCAATATAGTTTATACACGTATATATCTTTTGTTAATTTTAAAATTTTATATAAGATTATTAGTTTGTTCTTTCACTTTTAAACATTTTGCCCCATTTCAGATGCAAGATACTTGTTGGGATTTTTGCGAGCCAGAAAATTTAGTCAGCTTGGTGCACGTGAACTTTTAGAAAACTACTGGACAGTTAGGACAAAATATTCCGATTGGTATGATGGCGTAGATTCATCAGATAATAGAATACAAGACATAATTAAACAAGGGTAGGTTAATGATTGATTTCAAACATAATATAGAAATGTTAATACAAAGGTATGTAAGTAGCAGACAATACAATATACAATACAACACAACACATATATTCCATATCATAGCAAAAATGTTTCATATAGCACAAGACTTGATAAATCAAAGTACTGAAAGTACTAGAAAACGAGGGAAGCATTACAATCGACATAACAATACCTTTGATATTTAGTTAATTAAATTCAGCCGCAAGTTTTCGGTTGTACAGAATAAATGTGAATCAGTGCCCGGAAACACGCAGTGCGTGGGTTTCTATGGTAACAGATAAATTAAGATTACGTATTTGGTATTTGAGACTTGTGTGTCATGTTCATACTCTGCTAATCTCATGCCGGTGTCACATATGAAGTACAAATGTTAGTGAATACGTGTTTTAGGCCTACAGCAAAAATCCACGAACTTATCAATTAGCCCGTGATAAACATCAAGATGTTTCGATAGAAGCCATTTGGACAATTGCCTTGTTTTGAAAATGTCCTTACGCTTGTTGTTGTTCTTGTTGTTGTTATTTGTCGGTGTTGATAAGATGGTATTGAATTGTTTATCCCATATAATTCAAGAGTTTATAAAAGACGGAAATGTATCTTGTGTTATAGATTGAAAGACAATGTTAACAATGAACTTTACTTGAATACATATAATAACAGTTTATTAAATTTTATTTTAAATGAAATAAGAAAAAAAGAGATTTCAGGAAATCCTTTCTCTTAAACTAAACTAGAAATGTCAAGCACATAAAACGACTAAAGATAAAGTGCACTTTTACAAATATTTTATCCGCTCAAAATGTCAAAACATGGCATTTTATTATAAACATTTATGCGAAGGTCAAATCTACCAACGAAATATATGTTGTAAATAAATAAATGGCAAGTAGTACATTATAAACATGTATAAATCTACATAAAAAATAAATCTGAAAACATAGAACTTTCAAAAAGTTGTCAAATCTTTAAATGAAGTTACATGCATGATAAGAATTAAAGTGGATTGGTATACAATGGGCACATTTTCCATAATTATTTCATATATTGATTAAAGCAGCATGCTTCCAGATGAGCGGAAATATTTCAATAAATCAAACTTGTGAAAAATGTACTAAGATTTTCGGCAAAGTAGAATGATTCAATATTCAAGTAATAATTTACATTTATGAGCGATAAATGGTGAATTTTCCATTATGTGTAACTAAATTTCTACTGTGTTACTAACGCAGTAAGGGCATTTTGTGCATATTTTGATAAACGTGGATTGTAAGTGCCATTAATAATGTGTAAAACGATTCCTTTTGGTTACTATACAATACTATTCATTTAATTTCATTTTCAAAATTTTCATAAAAATAAGCATTAATCTGGAAGCGTGCTGCTTTAAAACAATAGAAAAGTATCATTATGATAGAATTGTGCAATGTTGCTTGAACATTGGGTCGATAAAAGTCTAGAATAAACATTTATATAATCAATAGTACTATTTAGTTCTAGAACATTTTATTATCCGCTATGTAAATATATAAAATATTCCATTATGTATCCCAAATCAGCCAACAACTTCCATGTACGATTCTTTCGCGGGTTGTTGTTATGTCTAATACTAAATTCTTTCAGAGTAATTATTCATTGCATTACATACCTTCCATTATAGACAAATTCACTTTAATTTGACAGTTTATTTCCTCATTTGACATGTTCTAAGACTGCCCACTACATACTTACTTTCGCACTGTCTCTCTGTCCATGATACTTTATACATCATTTTCGTGATATGTTAAAAGGAAAATAATTTCATTGATCTATCAGTTAAAAAGGAGAATTTTTTTTCTTTGATAAGTCACATGATTGTCTTATACTACAATTAAACATTGACAATTTATACTTTATTTATACATTTGAACTTAAAACTAGTCAAAAGTCGGGTTAGTGTGGGTCTTTAATGGATTTTATAATTGAATAACTTCAAGGTTTAGTATTAACATTTTAAGTACAATGTGTTAATTTTGTCTTGATTTAAAGATGAAAATAAACAAAAAATGTCACCAGGAAATATATTTGAATTTGTAATGATTTAGTTTTGTTTGCCGTTATGTATAATTGAGCCGTGTTTGTGGCCACTATTTTAGGAAAATACATTTTCAATTAATGCATAATGTTATTATTATACAATCTCACATTTATCATGTCATTTCTGACAAGTATTTTTTAAATAAATTGCTTTAAATTGTTAAATATATGATTGGTTTATAATAACCACATGCCTGACGGAGTCTCATTGTCTTGTCTTGTCCTACCTGCAAAACAAAAAGAGATTGTGAGAATCCATCTGAAACTGAATGTAGAAAAATTTAGTCGTTACTAAACGAACACTTCAGATTTTGCCGTAAAAATCTAATTTAACAAGATGTATAATTTCAGCGTTTACATTCCACTTCCGGGTAGAGATAAAGAAGGGAGGAAACTCGTTATTGTAAGACTCGGTGAGTGATTTACTTCCCCTTCATTGCATTATTGGTCCACACTGTTGTCTGTCACTAGTGTAGAAACTTATTCAAAAATAATTGAGCATAATATTGATAGCTTGGTATTTTATACAGCAAGGAGAAACACCAACAAACAGCAAGTAAAACGTCCTAATCTGAGGGGGGGGGGGGGGGGGACCGGAAAATTATGCCTTTCTGGTATAAATCATAATGCCATAGCTGGACCTAGAATTTAAACCAATTAAGAGCCTGGAAAGAAACAAAATAAGGTTACCATTACAAGACCAAGATTGAATGCATCTATTCTTAAATACTGAGCTTTAATCACATTTTATTTACTAATTGATATGTTATTTCCATCTATAGGTGCGATGGACCCGAAAGGTAAAATGAACACATTTGAGGATGTAATGCGAGCGAACCTGGCTCTATTTGACTATATTCTACTGGATGAAGATATTCAAGTTAATGGGCTTGTATTTGTCATTGATATGACTGGATTTTCCAGACATCATTTTGTCTCCACTGGTATGGAAAACACGAAGAAATGCATGATTGTTACACAGGTGAGTTGATTGACTTGGTTAATTGACTAACTCCATTGACGTAGAACAAAACTGTAAAGCATTCACGTCAGAAAAAAGTATGAATTGTGTGGTGTTTTTAAGTTGTTGTCGTTTTATTTTGTGTTTTTTGTACTTTCTATATGAACCTTTTATAAAAAATAGACATAAAAATAGAAACAGATTCAAAACGCAATGTATTCTCTTCGAAGTGATCCAAAAGCATCCGTCGTAAAAACTTTTTAAAGCACTCTTTCAATAACTATTTCCTACTTCTTGTAAATGTTGAAGGTTTTAATACATAACCTGCCAACAATCAAATAATAATATTGTCCCTTTAAAACTCATTAATCTGTTTAATCATATATGACAGTGCATTGATAAAGTAAGTTTCAGACGACAATATTCAGTAGAGAGTGATTCTATTTGTCAAACAAGGTATTAAAATTGAGAACATTCTGTTGAGATTTATATTTGCTTTTAAAGTTGTAACGGTAGAATAGGGTTAATCAGAAATACATTGTATGCGCAGAACGTTTTAAGAACATTCATCTATTGCAGAAAGCATTGCCTGGCCGGATAAAGGAGTTGCATTATTACAACACTGGTGCTGTATTTGAAAGTATTTTTAACATGATCCGACCTATGATGAGTGAAAAATTGAGAAATAGGGTAAATATCTTATACTTTTATATTATAATTTATCACTCTTTAACACAATCAAATTAATTTGTTGTTCCTCTCAAAACTTGGGGGCGGGCGTCCGTGACCGAGTGGTTAAGGTCGTTGATCTCGAACCACTCGCCCCTCACCGCTTTGGGTTCGAATCCCGACAAGGACTTTGTATTCTTTCATGTGAGGAATCTATCCAGCTAGCTTACGGAACGTCAGTGGTTCTACTCAGGTGCCCGTTCGATTCGTACCTGAAATAATGCACGGAAGGGCAACTGAGGTCTTCCTCCACCAGTAAAGCTGGAACGTCGCCATATGACCTATACTGTGTTGGTGGGACGTAAACCCCAAATCTTTCAAAACTTGAATTTCTACTTTTACTTAATATGTATATTGACTTCCCTACTGTCAAAAGGTGATGACATAAAACATACATTACGTCTATGAACTTTTAAATACATATCATGTTCTTTTGAAAAACATTTTTTCACTTTTAAGTTCTTACATTTAATGATTTTAATTCTTACAGGTTCACGTTCACGGACAGAATTTATCATCAGTTTATGATAAGATAGATCAGTGTATGTTACCTGAGGAATATCTTCCTGATGATTATACAGGGGCACACGCTGGAACAATACAAGAAATATGCAGTAAGTGCTTTAACCCCTGTTTAAATTTATACTAATCATACTGTCAATATCAACTAGTGTACAGTCTGGATAACAAATGACATATAATTCTGAGCATTTATGATGAAATTAAGAATCATCATTCAAAATATTTATGATAGACAATACTGAACATTTTACAGGCAATAAATTGTGGTAAAAGCCACCTCACACTAAAGGTTGTTTGATTTTTAACTTTTAATATTTCAGATAATTTGGCATCAGATTTGTGCAAACCTGACGTAAGAGACTTTATTCGTGATTTACACAGTGGGAAATACGGTGTTGATCTGACATTAAAGCCAAATGACGACACGCCTCAAGCCTCGTTCAGAAAACTCAACGTCTCCTGAGCCGATTATATCATATCATTATACTCATCAATAACTGTGATTACCTTTCATGGCTTACTTCTCAAGTTGACAAACGTTTCCAGAAACAAGTTGCTGCCTTACAGGGAAATAATTGCTATGGTGATTTACGTAAAATGGTATGGACCTTGGTTGTACTGGTTCTTCGATAATCGACTATCATTATTTGCTAGATCAAGACAATGCACGTGATGTCTGACACTCATGGTCGTTACATGGTCTCCGATATTTGACACTCGGCACTAAAGACTTGATGTGGACAATCGTCTCTACGTAGACACCATTCAACACTGTTCGAAAGTGTGTTTTTAAGCTTATAGCTTCCTACACAATCGAACTACAAAACTAACTCTGTTCATCTCGAACATAGTTTACTCGATGTCAATATTTTTTAATGTTGTATCATGCTAATCCACACGTTGTTCTAAATTAAGGCTGTGCTGTCCAAACATGGCCTTATAATTACATTTACTATATTGCTTGTTTGCAATGGGTATAATTGTCTTTTTTCCTTTAACTCCATATTCGCACTTATGATTTCATCTGAATATTAGAAAAATGGTCAAATTGATAAGAAGGAATATGTGACGATGTCAGGACGTAACGCAGATGATGCGGAGTGGTCTTTGGATATGCATGTGAAAATGAAAATAGTTTTAAAATTCCATTCATTCTACAAAATGGTCAAAATAACGGTATTCAACTATCTTTTCAATTTTCAGAATGCAAACCTAGGACAAACCTGAGTTCGGCATCAGTTTTTGTACATGTACAAACATCCCATTTAAATTCCGTTAACTACATCTTACATATGCAGATTGTATTCAGTTATTTTACATTTTTGTAAAAATGTCAAGTGCAAATACATTTATATTTGCTTTGTCTGAACGCCTTTGAAGTTTGATTTCTGTCATCATAGATAAAGGAAGGTGTAAAGAAATCAGTCTGACAAAATGTTGATTGAAAACGTCTGGTAAGAATGTGCCAGGCGACTTTATTTTTAGAAAAGATAAATAAATATTGATTCTGTTTAAGTGTCAAACATTTTATCAAGATGGACGCTGTAACACTTAATCATTTATTTTGAAATTATACAACTTTTATTTGGAACACAGAAAATTGTTCTGGTACTATATGGTACAATTTTTAGTGGTTTGTTGTTATGATTAATGTAAATATTTATTGTATTATATACTTTCAATTATAGACCAATTCACTTTAAAGGTACGATAAGAATTTTATGTGTTATTTTTTTAATTTTCTTTAGGAAAACTATATGCTCTGCTTGAAACCTGCAATATTGAAAGGAGCAAAACGTGCAATATCAAATCAACTACATATAAAACTATAAGCTTTTTGTGCTAGGTATCGAAGCTGCTGTGTATGGAACTTATTGCTATCGCTGTCTTGTATAATAGTGTGTAGTGTAGATACTTCCCTTGCCAAAAGTGGCAGCCATTTTGTGGGTGAATATTATATGTAATATGATTGACAAAGTATGAAAAAAAAATCTATAAAAATAGCTGATTTATGTGAACTGATTTTATAAATATGAATGAAAATATCACAATAGCATGCACTAACATGCTTCAGATTTTTATCAGTTTTCATTAGAGATTTTTATCGTATATGATATAATGATTTTGATATATGATATATTGGAAATTACACTAAATATGGCGGCCAGGGGAGGTAATAATAGCTATGAAAGAAGTATTCTAAAATGAAATTTTAGCACAGAAAAAGTACAAATATTTTTGAAAGAGTTAACTTCAATGACTTTAACATTCATGTGCTCCAAAAATGGGCAATACGTGTTTGCATATTTTTTATAGAAAACTACTTATCTCAAAAGTTTGGTATGTTTCATTTCAGTTTATTTACAATAAAATAAGATTGAAATAGTCTCCATTTTAAGGATCATAGTTTCATTTTGGACACTTTTAGTATCGTTTTAAAGTAATAACAAAGTTATCATCCTTGTAAATATTTAAAATGGAAGAAAGCAAATATTAGCTTTGCCTATACATGTATTATTCGCAGTATTTCTGTAAAGCTTGATTATTGTTCGTAATAACGATTTTACTATGCATTTAAATTTGTATTTGTTACGAATAAAATTATTATTTTGTGCATATATAGGTGCTGATACAGGACTTACAGCTTTTATAAGTTCACGTCTCTTGGTGACAATCGATGGAATTTCTATGCAATTAACTGTCCTCTATTTTGTAATTTAGTAAATCATTAGGTGTCGAACGTAAAACATTTGGGACATAGGTAACTTATAAAGTAATAACGAATTCAGTTGTTCAACGCCATCACGATGGTCCCGATAGTAAAATGTGCCTTTAAGGATTTTCAACAAATGATGACGATGAAGAAAATTTATGCTTATATTGAAATGCTTTATGTTATTTTGCTGTACATAGTATATTTTATGTTGACATATAACTAATAAATTGTTGTCTTACTGTGTTCAGACATCTTTGTTGTCCTTTTTTTCTTTTTTTACGGGGACATTTATTGTCGAAACCGTTTTAGATCACTTATAAAGTTTTGACACAATGTAATGACAGGTCGTTCTTTTTTCTCGTTTTGCATTTCTGTTTGACAGCAAGTAAATTAGGCGAAAGTAAAAAAATAATTATTCAAAATAAAGTGCCGAGTATGTAGGTACAAACAACGAAAGTGCACCTTGTAATATCATTCAGATTATGTGCAGAAATCATATGTACATACTGCTATCATGTTTAAGGCAAATACAATTAAAACCATCCATATTTCAAAATCTAATGTGCAACAAATGAAAGAAAAGCCACAAGGAAAAGCAAAGCTTAAATAACAAAACCGCGCGGCCAAAAAAAAGATGATAATAAATAAAACAGCACTAAAGTTGCAGGGTAGGGAATATTATGCCTACATTCAACACACAGATCAAGAATAACCGTCTTAAAATCATTAATATATTAGCGAATGGATATATAGATAAAGAAAGAAACAAAATGATACAAAAATAGGTAATTATTTTACTTCATAAATAATATATAAACCGTAATTGTAACGCACGCACGCACACACTGTTTACGCTGTATAAAACAATCGAAGGCCACACTTGCATTATTTTCCTTGCATCAGTAAAACATTATATGATCATCATCATTTGTATGAGGTCCAAACATTGATGCATTGTAAACTTCTTTCCGTATTTTCGTTGATGACACAAACTCCGAATATGGAAGAAAATGGACGGGCATTACTTCCTCAATATATTTTCTGGCGGGAAAGTTTGGCATGTCATCTCCACGTACGTACATACTGGTGACCGGCTCTTCCGCGTCAAACATACATTTAAGGAAAGGAGTCGGGTCTGTTCCCGAGATACAGTACACCTGTAAAGAGGCAAAGAATTTGAAATCTGTAATTGTAAAGCAAGCTACCATTATAAAAGGTAAGATCCATTGGAAGCAATGCAACACCAATAGTAAATGAAAATTCCAGACTGTTTAAATGAGTCTGTTCGCTGGGGATAATACATGATGTATACATGTACTTTAAATATCCAAGATTATATCATAATCATAATCCATAAAGCTTGCGGCCATGTCGATTTGGTACCAGGAATATATTAAAGCTAATTTATCAAACGCAATGGGCGATTATTCACGAAAAGATATAGACTGTTGTGAGGTCTTTAAATACCGTTATTGTAATTGATAAATTTACACCGCAGGAATTCACTTACCACATCTGCATATTTTTTAACATTGGCCATTCTTTTATGAGTACTATCGATGGGCACTCTTCTCTTTAACTTGAATATACTTCTGCTGTCATGTACACCGACTATAACCTGAAATATAATGATAAATAACAGTTCAGCCGTGTCATGACAAAACCAGTTAGTTTCCGGTGATTGTTTCGCAAGGATATCATGCAAACTTGACTATATATGAGCCGCGCCATGACAAAACCAACATAATGGGTTTGCGACCAGCATGGATCCAGACCAGCATGCGCATCCGCGCAGTCTGATCAGGATCCATGCTGTTCGCTATCAGTTTCTCTACTTGTAATAGGGTTTGTAAGCGAACAGCATGAATCCTGATCAGACTGCGCGGATTTATGAAACTTGCATTTATGTTATAATCATGAAGGTATTACATGTTAACAGCAAGATTGCTTGTCTCTAACACCATTTCAATTTTGTTATGCTTTGATTGGTTTATTTATTGTTATTTACTAGCATAAGCATTGTTACATGATCACATCATCAAAATATTAAGCATTAGAGAAATTTGAATATTATATAAAATTGTTATCTTAAGATGGCGATGTTTAAGCATGGAATAAGAATAATTTTATTATTTCATTATCTACATGTAGAACATAGTAACACCCGGAAATCGAATCTAGAATACTACATTTTGCAATATGTACCTTCCATTAATTAGTCATGTAAGAAAAAACCTGTGATCATTTTGCAACATGTACCATTAAATAATTAATAAGTCATGTAAGAATAAACCTGTGATCCTAATTCTTTCAACCGCTCCATTAGTATTATGTGACCTTCATGGAAAAGGTCAAAGCAGCCGACCGTGTAAATCTTATCCACTTTTTGACGTATTTTCCAAGACGGGACCGAAACAGATCTTTTTATCGATAACTTTTGGTTTGATGACGTTTTCTTGAGTTCTTCTTCTTCCTCTTCCTTTTCAGAAGAAACATCAGACTTTTCATCTAATTCATCCGGGTCTTCAATCTCCTCACCAAATATACTTAATCTGTGATAAGTAAATGCAGTTCTTATGAATCCTGTCTTTCAATGTGAAGAATAAGAACACAGCATACATATAAAAACTGGGTTTCCGTTAATAAAATGCAGCAGATAAACATTCCTTAAAGATAATATTATACACTTCCAGGATACACAAGACGCTTCAGTCGTCTGTCATATGGGTTTGAATCTATTTTACAAGAATTTTTCGACCAGTTATAATACTTATTCAAGTCACTGAGAACACGTAACCTTACTCAAACAGCAAATATACTTATATAATTATGTACAGGATTACTGTAACAACCTTAAGAGAGGGTTGAAAGTAATTCGCATTAAATTTTCATTGAACGAAAAGAAGATTAAGAAATTACATTGCCCCTTCATAACTATCACAACGGATATACAAGTGTTTTCCCTAAATATTTATACATATAATTTAGTTTTCTTTATATAATAAATAAACTTACTTTCGTTCTAGGATGTTCTCTGACAGATGATTGTCAGTCTGAGTGCCATACGAGCGCTGAAAGATTTCCCAAAGTCAATACATTTGCTAAACAAATTTCCGAAACTTAAACTTTTGATGAAGAATTTTCTACTATACTTATATAAGTAATGTTGAAAGAGGAAAAGTATTGCATATTTTTCATTTTTCTTTCTTTTCGCCGTTCATAAAAAGGAATAAAATTGGTTGAAAATAAAGTCAGTACACATGTATTTTTAAGCATTTAGTTATCTTTTAACAATATTATACCTGATAAAAAGATAATACTTTCAAATTATTTATTAACATAACATTATCAGTTTTACAATCATTGTTGATGCTGACGTTGTTTTTGATAATGTGTCATTTTCTATTAAAATTTCCTCGCGAAAAAGGCAAATCAATATTGCGTTTAAAAACGACATTTGACAATCAAAGCATTGGTGATTTATTCAAAACGTCGCTATAACTATAGATACGTTATTGTGTAAGTTGGAAGAAACATACTGTATGTTCCTTATCATCATCATCTGTCTCGGTCTTGTTTTTTCGTCTTGGTTTAAGTTTGTGTTCAAGACTCGCATGTGCTAACCTGATAGACAACAAAAGACACACAACCCCACTTACACCAGCTGCAAAAAAATGTTTAAAAAAATGATAAAGGTAGCCTAAAATTACCACAGCAATATTCTTATGACATAATAATCTTGTTTCCAAATTGGAGAAGATTTTCGGGAAATGCTAAATGTATACGTATCCCTTGGGCTTTTTCTACAACCTCACTGATAATGTCAAATGCCGATGTGATTGTACGCTCCCCTACAGCTTAATGAATAAGTAAGCGTTGTGAACGGTAGTGGGACATTCGACTGGTGTGCAGGAGAGTTATGAAAATGGTGAATTTGAATCTCTGTAAATCATCATAGATGTCTAAATAAACATTCTAGTATTCTAGTAATATTTGGACTAGACACCTTTAGTCATATGTATAACTCAAAAATGAAGGCATGCTTAAATCTTTAGAGAACATAAATGTGCATGCCTCTATCACGCATGTGCATAAGTTTTTCTAAATATAAATTAATAGAATACTAGTATAGCGGAAATAGTTTGAAGAATTACAACATGTACCAAAATGACGCATCTCTCTTTAAGCCCTTACATATACTTAGTATTGGTATTGCCGTCCCTTGAGCAAGACAAAGAAAACCAATGCCCATTGATTCTAATTTTTCCTTCAATTTGCCTTCCATTACTGCTGCCACGTTTGTTTTTGATTCTGTAGACACCATTTTATATTTCCTGAAATAACAGCAAGTATTTCAAACTTCATTCACTTATGCAATGAAAATGAAAATAAATAAAAACTAGTTTAAAAAATCATCGTATGAGCCTAGGCATTGTTTAAAACTTAATTAATTGTATTATGACACAAGTCATAAAACGAATTGAATGTGTTTTTACAATAAACAAATATCAAACGTAAATTCTGAATAAACAAAATAATACCTTGAATAGTAGGCTTGAAAGTAGTCCTGAACCCTGACAACACCAAGAACGAATTCATACGCAATTATAACCACGCATGCGCCTGTATACAACCAGATTTGAGATGACGTCATCTGACTGAAATCCGTCACCATTAGAATCGTCCATAATGATACACAGTTTACTATCTCAGATAAAACAAGAAAATAATCATTCTTAATGCCCAATATTCTTGACAATAGCCTTATTAGGCTACATTTTCGCCAGAAAAATAGCTACGTATTTCAAAAATATTACCTAACCTTTACTACAGTAACTATAATATTTACTATATCGTAAAAGCATGAAACATCTCCCTTTTATAATAACAGCATTTTCTGGCACAAAAAGAGTTTAAACTATCTTTAATTCAAATAATTCAAATAATGTAAATGTGCTCACTTTATCACAGAAGGCGTCCATGAAACCACCTAGCAACGGGTCATCCATCTGTCCATAAATAGATTTTTGCACCTTGGCCACAATGCCGTCTAAATGATCAAGAAAGTCATGCAAAATGACACAGAGGAAGGCGGAAACTGGATAATTATACCTGCAGAAGTAAATATACAAAATTTTGAAAGTGTTCAATACATAAATCGTTTTAAGATAAAATGTTTATGAAAAACTTATATACTGTCTATATTCATGTGCTTTGAGGCATTATTCAAGTTAGCTTTTGTTGAAAAGTCTCTCGTTTCAAGTTAAATGACATAAATACCGTTTAATTCTATCTATGATGTGCAATTAATCTACAATGCTTTACTTACTTCAGATACCAAGCAATTGGTATAACAAGTATTGTTCGTGACCATGATACAATATTTGCAGTGAACACATCGACTTTTCTGTCTCCAAGGTGAATTGCTCGTGGTACCTTAGCAACAAGCGGAGAAAGTGTCTTTTGTAGAGGACTATAGCAGTATGTATCGTAAAGATTAATCTGAATGAAAGAAATAATAAAGATAATGAAGATGATAATGATGATGATAAACGATGATGATAATAAATGGTGATAATAATAAGTAATGATGATGACGATGATGATTGTTTGATTGACGGACCGTGAGCAGGTTTTCAGTTCCATTCCACAGCATAAGGCATTTATATCAGTACTATCTTCGCTCTTGCTGGGTGCTCAATATTAAAATAAAAGAACTTCTTTAGTCTCTATTCTTACACCGTCTGTCCTTTCAAGGCATACTGAATGTCGAAATAAGCCGTGCACATTTACCAGATTTATTAACAAATGAACAAGCTTTTCCTAAAACTTTTGAACTCGTTAACAATTTTATATATTTAGATAAGAACTTCGGTGTTTGGAAGTAGCCTCCATAACTATTCACAATAAAAACAAAACTTACCAAAATAAAAAGGAATTTCTCTATAGCATTTAAAGAAAGCTGTACGGGCAACCAAATCAATGACGTTAGTCCCATCTGGGGTAAAAATGAAAGAAAATAAAATGAAAATATATTTTATAGCTGCCAAGAATTGAATGAGAAACTTTGAACGTTTACTATTTCATTCATATCAGTCAAATTTGTGTATGATTACTGGGCTAATAACTTAGTAATAAGTGACATGTTACATGAGGAAACATTGCCATTATCCTAATAAGGTCCGAACATACGATCCTTTGGTTGAAAAGCAGGTACATGTACCTAAACAATTTGTGTACTGCCCTGTCCCCTTTCATTTGGCAAGTGCTTTTAATAGTTGCACATAATTCAGTTGCAAAACATAAAAAAGAGTAGTCCAAATTTCTCCGTTTGTTTTCAATATTTTTGTTATTTTACTCTTAAGAGAGAAAAAATTACACTTACGAACGGCGAACACCTGTCGTAAAGTTACGACAGATTTTGCACTTAAGATTTTCTTAAGATAGTTTGTGAAAAGGAGATTTTTCGTAAGATTTCACTTACGATAATAATATTTCGTAAGTTTTTTTGTGAAAATGGCTGCTGATATTTTACTAGAGAAATATATTTTACAAACTTCTCGTGAAACATTGGTCATTTCAGTACAAAGTAATACAAGGGTTTTAAGATCAAGAAAAAGACAGTCTGAAGATTTGATGGTTTGATATTTAAACATTCAATTAAATATAATAGTGAATAATCTTACCTTGAAAGTTGGACTGATGAGTAAATCTTGTTTTTACTACACGTTATCTGTTTTCTACTATAGTATAGATGTGTATCTATTTAGAGCTACATGTATCTATGTTTATATTACGGTATCAGCTATCCACGTGGTTGGTATCAGGTGGTCACTGCAGATCCAAAATAAGCCGACGTCACGGTAATTGAGCCGCGTCATGACAAAACCAACATAGTGGGTTTGCGACCAGCATGGACCCGTCCAGCCTGCGCATCCGCGCAGTCTGATCAGGATCCATGCTGTTCGCTTACCAACTCTACTACAAGTAGAATCAAAGGGCTGCAGCTCTATGGTATTTTCTGATCTTTGCAATCTAAATCATACTGACTATATGTATGTACTTTCCTGTATAAGTTTATTTTTATATACTATAATTCATCTTACGCAGCGACAGCGTTTTGATTTTCTTCTTTAACAGTTTGAGATTTACATATGGAATTTTGCATGAAAAAAAAAATAGAATTGCCTCGACTAGGATTTGAACCATAGGCCTCTCACACCCTCAACGAGACCGCTTACCTCTGCACCACGGCGAAGTTATACATATGAACCTTGAATAAAAACGAATACATTATGTAATTCTAAATTGAGAATTTCCATTTCGTGTTTGTAATCCTTATTAAATTCGAGGTATTTTGTTCACGATAAACGTGTTGTTTAACACTGATGAAAATAATTTTTCGAAAATCTTCTCGCCAAAACAGTCCGACATGTATATATTCCACTACTCGACAGTCAGATTTATTTGTGTACTACGCTCTGGAGTATTCGGTAATCGGCATAGCTAAAAATAGCATTTTCATTGATTAAAATGATATTCATGATAATCCGAAGCTTTACGGAAATAGCCGAACATTTTTCATTGGGTTAAAAAGATATTCATCCGCGAAATTTGTGATTGTAACCTCATATTTCTATTGACTAATCTAAACTTTTAATGCACTGTAATCCGTTTAATGCCTACATTAAAAATTATTCTTTCTTTTAAATTGCTGTTTTTCAAGCAGTTTTGAGTGAGAACTACTTTGCGTTGTTAGGACTGTTAGGAAATTTTGTGTTAGACCGTGGATGTTAGCTATGTATTTACTGATCTTACGATCAGAAAATACAATCAAAGGGCTGCAGCTCTATGGTATTTTCTGATCTTTGCAATCTAAATCATACTGACTATCTGTATGTACTTTCCTGTATAAGTTTATTTTTATATACTATAATTCATCTTACGCAGCGACAGCGTTTTGATTTTCTTCTATAACAGTTTGAGATTTACATATGGAATTTTGCATGAAAAAAAAATAGAATTGCCTCGACTAGGATTTGAACCATAGGCCTCTCACACCCTCAACGAGACCGCTTACCTCTGCACCACGGCGAAGTTATACATGATATGAACCTTGAATAAAAACGAATACATTATGTAATTCTAAATTGAAAATTTACATTTCGTGTTTGTAATCCTTATTAATTTCGAGGTATTTTGTTACGATAAACGTGTTGTTTAACACTGATGAAAATAATTTATCGAAAATCTTCTCGCCAAAACAGTCCGACATGTATATATTCCACTACTCGACAGTCAGATTTATTTGTGTACTACGCTCTGGAGTATTCGGTAATCGGCATAGCTAAAAATAGCATTTTCATTGATTAAAATGATATTCATGATAATCCGAAGCTTTACGGAAATAGCCGAACATTTTTCATTGGGTAAAAAAGATATTCATCCGCGAAATTTGTGATTGTAACCTCATATTTCTATTGACTAATCTAAACTTTTAATGCACTGTAATTCGTTAAATGCCTACATTTAAAATTATTCTTTCTTTTAAATTGCTGGTTTTTAAGCAGTTTTGAGTGAGAACTACGTTGCGTTGTTTGGACTGTTAGGAAATTCTGTGTTAGACCGTGGATGTTAGCTATGTATTTACTGATCTTACGATCAGAAAATACAAAAACTGATAGCGAACAGCATGGATCCAGATCAGACTGCGCGGATGCGCAGGCTGGTCTGGATCCATGTTGGTCGCAAACCCATTATGTTGGTTTTGTCGTGACGCGGCTCAATTATAGCTTGATAAAACTGTTCACGTGACAAATTTAATAAAATTAAGATGCAAGCAAGATTACGATACTGATAACTGAGTCAATGGTTTAAAGACCAAATAAATACAAGTAAAGATGTAATTAAAACTGACCTTATCCGTAAATAAATTGTATCCGTGAGGTAAAACATATGGTTCCCATAGATCTCTCGATACTACAGCATGTTAGAAATTAAGGTAAACTGTTTCTAGCACAAAAATGTTTCATAGTCTGATAGACAAACATGGCAAAGAGACTTAGTATCCGAGATATTGCCATTAGTTGGTTAAGATTTCCGACGGTCCTGCAAAAATGTCGACTAGCTCAAACGCTACGCTTTATCAAAAATAGTTCAACTAATAAAGAATTCGCTCTTTAACGCATATTTTTTATAATCTTTTACACCCAGTCCTAAGTAGCGGATTTCCGTTAGAGGAACATATTGTCGGCATCGCAAGGATAACTTCTGGATTAACATTTCTTTTCAGAGATTTGAATACAGGTACTTCATCAGGTCACTCACTTGACCAAGAGTTACCATCTGTTTTCATGTGTTATTAAAATATAAAAGGAGCGAGTTTCGTGTAGAAGATATCGTGTAAAAACCCTGACATAAAAAATGTTCATTTTTTCCAATTCAGTGAACGATCACTCTTAAGATGGACAAATAATTAGAACAGCTAGCTGCTCCAATATATTGCGCATTACATCGAAAATTCAATATCTCTTGAAATACTGGGGCGTTTTTTACTTTTTTCCTTTATTCTGCATTGCTTATTATCAGACATTCTGCAAGTCAAATCCTGGTTTCGCAAACGAAGGGACGTACCATTGGCCCTAAAGCGCTCATCTGAGGATAAAATTTATAATGATCTCTATATTACGAGTTGGACAAGGTTTTAATGGACAAGGCCACTTTAATTGTTATTCGTCTTTGACCGACTTAACTAAAAATCAATTACCGGTTATTTACTAGTCATGACTAACCCAATTTTGACTTCAAAACTTATAATTTGAACAGTTTTGGTAGAGGTCAACTAAATAAGTTTCATGTTAAGAGAAGATTTCTTGAAAGTTTAACTGTCCTAGTGTTTATGGCTTCTTTTGCAAGTTTTATTTAACAAGCAATTCCCTAAAACACGGACATGACACCAGCGCAGTAGAAGTCTTGGTAAGACAGCAGAAGCCCGTAAATGACAGATATTTTTTCTTATTGCAGGACTCACGTAAATGTATTACAAATTAATCAATCATGATATTATTTAATTTTTGTATCATTGTAATGCTACAAGATTAGAATATACCAAATCATTTTACCGCGAGGTAATTAATGCCTTAACACTTTGTAATTTCTTATTTTGAAAATTGTCGCAATGAAATGAAGCTACAAAGTTAATGACATGCATAAAATGTTTTGTTTTTCACACTGACATCGTTTGGATTAGTTATATCAAAGATGTTAGAGTTCTTAATATGTTGGAAATTTCATTTCACAATAATGTAAACGAGAATAAAAACCAAACACAAAGAAATTTTAACAGTTTATTTGTAAAAAAAACACGTGCAATCTCAATCTTAAACAATTACTGATACTATTTCTAGTAAAATACCGTTAATGAACATGATTATTTCATAATCACATTCCATAACAATCCAAACCACACACACCCTTCCTAGGCTACAGCTGGCTGTACATATTTTGTAAACACATTTTCCAGTTTCAGCCAAAACAGTATCGTCTTTGGGAAAATGTTGGCCTTTTCCTATAAGATGATATGAGGTTGGACTGTAATTTAATATTTCACATGTAATATATATATGTCAATCCAAACATTTAAAGGTAGCTTTTCTTTCCTTTCGTACATTTTTCATGGCACAATCTTGTAAAATCATATGCACTAGTACTCAAAAGTAATTTATATAATTATATAGTGTTTTAAGTAAACATTTTATTAGACCACTTATTACAATATTTAATCATTACAAACAGATTTTGTATCTACTGAAATTACTTTAAAGTGAATTGGTCTATAATCGAAGGCCCTTTATACAATGAATAATTACTTTGATAGTATTTAGTATGTCACATAACAAAACACGAAAGCATTAAACGTGGAAGTTGTTGGCAAGTGTAAGATACATGAACTATCATGACATATTATTATATTGCAGATAATTAATAAATTGTTCTAGAACAAAATATTATAATTCATCACATAAACGGTCTAAATCTAAATCACTAAGAACTTTTTCAACATTTTTTTCTTCAAAAAACATATTATGGAAAAACTTGAATGATACATTTCTATTGTTTTATTAGTATTTAAAATACTAATAGAAAATGTACCCACTGTAGGCCTATCCACTTTAAACAAGAGAGTCATTGTGCCCTCCATCGCTCACTAGGAAAAAATACTAGTACATGTATCATAATTTTGGCGAAGGCCTACTCTTTATAAAATGGAAACTTGAATGACATCAAAAATGAAAAGAAATCAATAATCTGTATGCTGTATTTTGGATTTGCATCTGGGTAACTTTTTTTTCATTCCTGTAACTGAAAAATACATCTAAAAATGTCCATAAAAAAAGAGACATAAAATAAAAACAGATCTTGTGAATCCCCATCTAGTAAGTTATGGCGAGTTAAATATATGTACTTTTTTTTGGAAAATAACACAGAAACGTCATCCAATGCGATATTTTAAATTAAACCAACTATTAAACAGCTAATTTATGATAACCATCCTTAAAATGTTTGTTCTGAGAATATGCCAATACTAATAAGGTAAAAAAATGAAAAGCTAGAAAAAGTATTGTGTACAGAAGAAAAGCCGCAAACTTTCATTTGTTTTAGGTTAAAAAAACGATCAAAACGCTTTTGGTAAAACTATAGTAGATACTTGTATTTGTTTATTTTTAGTGAATAAGCTAGTCACCACATATGTGTGCTTT